GAAGGAGGGTGGAGGATTGCTCTTGGAGTGGAGAGGAGCGCTAGCCAGGCTTTGAGAAATGGCTTGGCGGCCCCCTCTTATAGGCAACGACCCCCAAGCTCTACAATAAATGGATTCCCAGAATATTCTAAAGTTGTCTCTATATTCCCTCATATCTCCTATTGTATCAAATCTTATTCCTACTAAAGCGACTTTTGAGATCAAAAGGCATGCTTGCAAACCTCTAATTTCTCATTCAATAATCTTAATTCCTACTCCATCACTTGATTGTAGGACCTCACATAGCATATCCTTCAATAGTAGGCATAATATTCCTTTACCTCATCATAGCATAGCTTTACTCTAATCCTTTATCCTAATGACTAGCCTATTGATAAGATTTCATTTTTTTTATGCCCCCTACGGCCCTCACTTATAATTTGAGGCCATTATAATCAAATGATCAAACATTTAGAAAAAAAGTCATGTACCAGAAATGAGCAACAAATGGCTCAAGTTCTGCATGACTTTCACACAGACCATTGCTCCCATCAGGTGTCTGGCGTTGGGTCGGCGTGGTTTCCAAAGCATCACTGTCCAAAGACATGCCGGAATCTGGGAGTGGCGCCTACACGAGGTGATGCGATGTTCCAGGGACCCCCAACAGAAGTGCAAACGACAATCACACGATAGCGTTGCATCAGTGCGTTCCGTGTATTCGTGTGTTGCAAGGATTTGTGCGGGCGGCCCAGCGCCGACACCTGCAGACCCGCAACCTGCCCATGACTCAACCCCACGACCCTGCAGCGCCGCAGTGCACTGCATGCGAGCATGTCATTTCGAAGCCGGAGTCGGTCATCGTGCTTCCATCCAAACAGTGCGTCAGCCCCCTCACCACCTCGCACCCAACCAGGTCAACTGATATTTGTTTGACGGACGGCACCCCACAGAGGGGGCACCACTGGCGCTCGCTGCCGCCGGGCCGCCAGCGTGATGGCCGTAACGGCTCTGGCCGCCCTGGCCGCGTGCCTGGCCCTCCTGTCCCCGCCGTGCGACTCGGCGTTGACCCCCGATGGCTTCAATTCGCCGGTTGACGCGGTCAAGGCAAAGTACAGGGAACAGCTGCGCGCGGTGGCGGATGAGATGGCCAGGCGATACGAGAATCTGGACGCCCTGATGGCGAAGGATGTCTGCGGCTGCAGCTACCACGTCTGCGGGAGCAAGTTTGCGGAAGGGCAATGTCTGTACATTCCCAGGGACGGCACGGTGGCCTCCCTGCCCTCGTGGTTCCAGCCCTTCTTCAACTGCGGGCTGCTGGGGCCGTGCGATCACCACCTGGTGAGTCGGGGATCGGGGCCTCGAACCCGGTAGAGCGCATCGCCCTTGCCGCGGGGGCATTTTTGGGAGGAGGCCGTGTGTGTGGGCGGTTTTGCGGGCATGTGAACACGTCCTGTCTTGCGGCTGGGTGGGCGGGTGGGGTGGGGGGTGGGGCCGGTGAGCTTGGGGGGGGGGGGTCCCCAAGGACCCTGCCTTTCTCGCCGGTGGGGCGGGTGGGGGCGAGGGGGCCTCCTCGCCGGCGCCGCCGGGCGGATATGTTTGCGTTTTATGGCGCGAGGGCGCGGGAGTTGCGTTTTCTTCATTTTGGGAGGCAGGCGCCCGGAATGGCGAACAGGCGACGCCTCGCGGAGGCCGGAGCACGTTGGCGCGATGCGCCTGTCGATCGACTGAGCCGTTTGTCGAATGGGCGGGAGGGAAAATGGGGTCCGGGGCGGGGGCCGCAAAGCGAAGGCCTGCCATGGTCTGTGGCGAATCACCGGCGGTTTCACGTCTTCTGGGCGGCACCTTACCTTTGGCCGGTCCCCGTGGGGCTCTGCCACTCTCCGGGTTAGCCGGGCGCCGGCCCCGGCGCGGGATTGCTCCCGATTGTCGCCTGGCCATGGCGGTTTTGGGCGCTTGCTCCCGATTGTCGCCGCGTTGTGGCAGTTTTGGGCGGGTGTTTGGCGTTTCCACCGTCTAGCACGGCAGAATTTGGCGCTTGGCGCCTGCCCAGCTGGCGCCATGCCGCGGCAACACCCCCGCACAAGTCCCAGCCACCACGGGTTGGCGCCTGACAGGCAATCCAGCCCACCTCCTTAAAACCATGGACCGAAAAGGGGGTCGATCCACTCCCCTGCCCCCTGCTCCCACCTCCTCAGAGAATTTCGCAAAGAACAGAAGCCGCTGCTTACAACACAGTTGCGGGGATCTGCAACCGGAGAAGCCCTTTCCAAAAGGAAAAGCTTGTCCAGGCGGCCCGCCCCTGACATTCTTCGCACGCTGCTGTGCAGGTGCCCTCAGCGCATGTGTTGTTGCTGTGCATGGTGCACGGTGCTGTGTGTTCTTGCCCTGCCCTGGAGGGCTTCCACAACATGTAGGGCAGTGTGGGAAGGGTATATGTGACAATATGTACTATATAATGTACGTAATACATATGCCACACACTATGTATATGTACGTCATCTTTTGCTCTGTGAGTGGGTGGGTGGGGTGGGGGGAGGGGCCTTGTTGCATTTCGAAAGAAGAGCTGGTCACGCAAAGGGCACCTCTGGAGCAAGTGTGTCAGACTCTTCTCCAGGCTGTGAAAGGATACGTACAGTTCACCATGCAAGGAGAATTGCACGGAATACAAGTGCCACAAACAGCAAGGCAAGGGGGGAGGGCTTGTGCTTTCTGTGATGACGAACCCTCCTGCCAACAAAGTTCTTGCAAGGTTCCTTGTACAGTGGAGATGATGCATTAGTCATTGAGCTCACCAGCAACTCCATGCAGCACTAGGTTCATGTTCGGCGCCAGACAGTGCAAAACAGCACCAAGCAGGTGCCCACCCTTCTCATCAGTAGAGCCCAGAAAATAGCAGTCGAACCAACTCCGTAACCCAACAGCACAACAGGAGCACATCACCTCAACATGACACATTATACAACAGTCTACAGCCAGTAGACTGTAGACAACTATTTGGAGCCCCACCCTTGGATCGGCACTGTTTCAATAGCACTGCATTGTCCATTGAACTGCCCAACCCCAGCGGATCTGCTCCAAAGCAGTTGCCCAGCCAAGAAGCCGATCCTGTGCCTCCTCTTTAATCAATAACTGGGTGGGCCACAACCCCTCTTTCAAAGAACAAAGCAAGAAGACCAAGCAATTGTGCGACATCCTTGATTGGCTGATAGCAAGCCCACCAGCAAATTCCTTGAGCTCCATTCACAGACAGATCCAGCACTGGCAAACCGTGTGGGTCGAGGGGACTCCGTATGATGTGTGTCCACACTTCTGACACCTCAGTGAAATTGTTGCCATGCAAAGATCCCCATCACACAGCACGCTGCCACCATATCTACCAAAGCTTGCCAATTAGCATAGAGAGGCATTATGTTCTTGTCCAGTGTTTCGACTCAGTGCTGTTGCTGACCTTGTGGCAGTAATGTACGCGTCCCGCATGCTTTGATTCAAGGCGAATGATCGCACAGTGATGTCATTTTGCCACCCACATTTGTCAACAACACCCTGGGCAGTGAAGTAAAGGACCGCAACTTTCCAGAAACGCCATGGGCCACCCATGGAATGGTGATCGCGGTGGTGCAGTTCCGTTTCACAACTGCCGGCTCACCTGCCTCCATGTCATCTACATCGCCCCAGTGATGGCCAGCAGTTGGCAGTGTCCCCCATGCGTATGGTCACCATTCCTCTGCACCACCTGTGTCCAGGACATAAGCGCGCCTTATGAAATGCCCATAGTACATGCCCTTGGATGGTGGTATATGCTATGAAGCTCCGTGTGTAATAGGCACTGTACAACTGTGATGCAATGCAGGCCTGTCAGTGCACCTGGTACAACTCAGCCATAGTATGATATGTTTGGCCCTGTCCCCAGGGGCCTCTCAGTTCATTGTGCCTGAGCTTAAGAGATGTGGCAGTATGCTTCCAGGTGCACATTCATTCAAGAACTTTCCAGGAAAAATGTACATCTTAGTAGGTCATGACTTTGGCAGTACACAACAACAGGGCTATAATATTTGCTGCTAGAGAGAGTACCAAGTGGTAGGAAAATACTCTGTTTTAGGAAACCGGGCACAGGTCCCAAAGTATAAGGATTGTGTTTTATAATGTTTTAGAATGTGTTTTACACCATATGTAGAGGGAAAGCTAAAACTCAGAATTCCAAGCAAGGAACAAACTGTACCTCCCTTTCCCTCCCCCCCCACCCCCCCTTAACCCACCACTCCCCAACACACCACCACACCCAACAACTTCTCCCTCCGTCTGCCCCCCACCAAACCTAACACACAAGAGAGTTTCATCACTTGATGGTGAGAAACAGATTAAGGTATGGCACCCCTGGTCATTATTGATCTGGCAGTATTGGTTTGCACTGCTTCTTGTACCAGACTTGCTGCTCAGTGTCCTATGCCCGTGCCTCCAGGACTTTGACAAATCCCAGCGGCAGCATTGTCCAGTGCTTTGTGGAAACTGTTGGTACCAGTCACAAAGTACTAGTGGTTTATTGTGCAACGTTACCCGCTGCAGTGCCCCATGCTTGCTGATCATCAATCACTAGCCGATGCCCCTGTTTTTTTTGTGTATGTTGCATGCATCTGCTTGTATATGCATGTAGTTGGCACGCATTTGTTTAGATAGCATGCATCTGAGCGTGACAAACTGCCACCTTAGCCATTTGTCCTTGGGACAGTGGTACATGAGTGAGTCAGGGACGCGATCATAGGCCCTGTTCAGGGGCCATCTTTTGCATCAGCAATGCTGCGAAAGCCATCTGCTGCTGCAAGTCAATGGGGACTGGCCTGTTGCTACCCCAGGAAACTCCAGGAAACGGGCATTCTGTTTACTGCTTGGATCTGCAGGGTTGCACATGAGAGACAGTACAGAGAACAAAGTCGATTTGAAGAAGTGGACGTACATCAGGCAAATTTAGTGCAGAAGGGAAATTGTAAAAATGTGTGCCAAGGGCCAGTTGAGGCACAACAGCAAAGTAAGGGCATCTCAAGGCACTGCACAGCTGTAGTCTCACATCGGTATGCGCAGACCAATCATCATACTAGCCTGGCAATATACTGTTCTCGCTGTAGTTTACTATGCATTAATCTATTTTGCATTTCTATATGTATTCAATGTACTTTGTTCCTGCGTTGCAGACGTACATGGAGGATTCTGTAGTCTGGACACCAAGCCACGTGATCACAGAAGATCCGGACTTGAGCTCAGATGTCATCGAAGACATCTGCATGACTAAGGTAATGGGCGCCACCCTGGCGGAGAAGCAATACTGCAGAGGCAAAGGGGGCTTGGCTTGTCCAGCCAAAGTACTTGGGGTTGTTGCTCCTGATCATTTTGCCGAAGTACAGGGGAGGGCTCCATTCATATTTGTCGCTGAAGTGCTGCAGAATCATTAGTGAGCTCTGCATCTCAGCAGCATCCCATCATCAGGAAGATCCCCTGTAGTAGTAGTTTAACTGTTACGAAAGAACAGTCCTGCAGTGCTACCATTGATGCCATATTATGGTAGATAGTGTTCGATTTAGCATCATCTTGGTGTGTCTGTTCATTAGCATATGTTATGCATGCTCCTACCACGTGATTCACATGTGCCTGCGTACACCTTGGTGCATAGTACCCCTCCGCTTTGTAACGCAATGCTGGGGCTTTTGTGCGGAGCAATAACGAAAACGCAACGGTGCCAGGAAAGTGTGGAGCAGCCCTAGCCCCAGCGCGAGGGTCTCTGGAATGCTCGTGGCGTCCTTAGCTGTTGTATTTTTGAATAGGTGTAGTTATTTTTAAAATTAGTTTTTTATTATAAAATTATTGTGATATTATAATATTGTTATCATCATGAGTTGGTATGGCAGAAAACCTTTGAGGCCGTTCAAACTCAGCAGAGTCGCCATTCTGGCCATGACCTTGATGCGGAACCCCAATAATAACAGCCTTTTTAGTAAAATTTAGTAAACTTTGAGCAAAATTAGTCACTCTGAAATGTCGAAGTGCGGAAGGTCTTACATTGTAAGTTGGCAGTGCACCTTGGAGTGGCGCGGAAATGAATTTTTTAGAGTCTGACTCACCGTTCATGTGTAAGAATCGACCCCTGTGACATGGGGGTACGTGAGTGGCGGGGCTCTCCGAGTCGGGTGCTGTGGGCATGTGTTCCCGGGTGGGCCTGTGGCTGCGCTGGAGTGCTGCCAACAGGAGCGGCTATTTTCTTGAGCGGGGTGGGGAATGGACCTCCACCATGGCGTCCGCAGCGTGCGATGGGTGACAATCACGTGCTAAGAGTGTTGAATGCGCTCTTTGGTCGATTAAGGGAATGTGGCTGCAGCGATGGCTCGTGAGTGAAACGTGCAGGTTGAAACGGGTTCCTCTAAGGGCTTCCCTGGGAAGCAGAGAGGGGCCCAACAGTCGTGACGGTGTTGTGCAGCCCTGGCAGCGGCGACGACGGCAAAGGACACGGCAGTCAAAGAACATGTTGAGCAAATTGTCGTGAAGTGAAGAACATCAGTAATGCGACCTGGCCAATGAGTGAGTGGGCTTTCAATGGATAAAGCAGGAACGACAAAGTGCAGAACGTGGGGCCGGAGGCTGAACTTCTGGACTGGTTGAATATATTACGGTGGTGGGCACAACTGAATAGGTTACGTTGCTTTTGTGAGTAATTTTTAGTTGCATTGGTGATCAATGAGAAATTGTTGTTGAATGTTTGTATTGTATGCATTGTCATTGTCCACCAGGGCTTGGAAGAGACTTTGAAGCCTCTGGCCAACTACACCGGCCAATTCGTCTTTCCAATGTATTTTGCACATGCGCGATCGGGGGTCCTGAGGTGAGATCACAGCCACCGAGTAAAGTACCGGGCACTGGTGCTTTCCGTTTTGCTGCCGTTAATGTACTGGATGCAAACGCAGTTGCCATTGTGCTGTTGAGGTGCCGGGCGAAGGTTCGCTGCTTTGCCATAAATTTTTAGGCACGTGTGCCACTGTTGTTTGTGCCAAGTACTTGGGCAAAGTACTAGGAATGGCTGCTGCTACCGATGTGTTGCTGAGGGACTTGCAACAATAGCGTTTGCTTTTGCCTAACTGGCTTCATTACTGACTGCATCACTGATTACATTGACTTTGCATTACTGCCTGAAGCTTCCAGACTTTGGCACCCAGAACACAACGCACCTGATCGAACCAAGTGATTTAGTTAGGTGGCTTGGTGAAAACCACTTACAATTGTTTTCATTTTATTCTCTTCATTCATGTAATGAAATGCGTTGTATGCTGCTCAGGCAATGGCCACTGGCCGTACAGCTCAGGACCAACGGGGTGTGCAGACAATTCGATCCGGTGAGGACCATCCGCATTTAGTACTGCCTTGTGTGTTGGTGTTCTTGTTGTGCTGGAAAGGATCATGCACAGTACATTTTGTGACGTCTTCGTACTTGACTACTACTCCTTCACGCTCACAGTACCCACTGTCTGCGCTGCAGAGGGACAAGCAGTGGTACAAAGTGGCGACTTCCGAGCCCAAGAATGTGGTCATCATCGTGGAGACATCGAGTGAGTTCTTAGGCCACATAACAGGACGGGCCACACAGAACATTCTGCACGGTTTCTATGCTGTACTCTTGTTATTCACTATCAAGCACTCATGTGGCTGTCTATTTCATCCTCTCTTCTTAGTTTAGAATTCGTGTTTTTGTTTTTTGCTTGTTTGTTGCAGGAAAGAGTGTAAATACACAATTTATCGACTTGTGTCTATTTATTAATTCATGTTTTCATTCATTGTCATTCGTTAATTGACTGTTTCCCGACCGGCTGTGCAGGCACCATGGCCACCAAGCTATTCCCTGGCGCGGCCGCCGACTCCAAATCCCGGTGGGACGTCGCCAACGCTACGGTCCGTGGCATCCTGGAGACCCTCGACAGAATCAGCGACTCGGTCAATGTTGTAGCTTTCAATGGCACTGCTGCGCCGCTGGTGGGGGACGCCCTGATGCCGGCGCATCGTAAGAATCTGTGGCCGCTGACATGGGCCCTGGACAACGCCACCCTGGGGAAAGGATCCGATTATCGGCAGGCTTTCGAGGTTGCGTTCGACCTGTTTGAGAAGACGTTTGAGAGGGCCAACATCAAGTCCAGCTGCCAAAATGTGAGTGTCATTTCCATCGCTGCCAGCTTTTGTTGGATTTATGTGCTGATTGTGCTTGAGTTCTGTGTCTTGAGTGGGCTTTACTGTACCCAATTTTGTTTTGTTTTGGTGTCCATTTCTTGTGGTTGTTAAGTAGTATCCACAAAGAATTGTCATGCTGCTGGAAGATTCAAACACAGCAACTAGTGCCTCTCCAATGCCCCGCCACAGGGGAACACTTCGTTGCAGCTGACCCTGATGCGTCGAAAGGACATCGGCGCAGTCTGGCACGATCGAGGTGTCTGTGGATAGCTCCACATGCGGTGTGTCAACGCTGCTTTGATTGGAATTCCAACTCGCATGTTTGACCTCTGTCTGCACGAATTAGTCACCGAACATGACATTCGAACAGAGGCCGTGTACATGAATTGGACATGTGGCGTGCCCAGATCATAATCCACATTGGGGACGGCATCGACTGCGTGGCGGGCAGTCAGCATGCGTGCTCCGTCACAGGTGCAGGGGGCCAGGAAGAGGACGCGGGGGCCCCAAGGGACGGCATCCAGAGCATCCTGCAGGCTGTGGAACGGAGACAGAGGCAGTTGGAGCAGGTTTCGAGCCGCGCTGCCATTTTCACGCTGACCGTGAGGGGGGGTGAGGACAGCCTGGCACGGCAGCTGGCTTGCAATAATGGAGGGGTGTGGTTCAGGCTGGACGGTGAGTATTTGGATGCACACAGCCATGTAGATATCACAGGTTTGCCTTGAAGGCATTGTCACAGTGCGATGCGGACGTGGATGCAGTGCCATATCGAAACAATGCCTTGTAGACATCGCCAGAGTGGCCTGTAGATCTCCTGTGGACAAGGCCACTGTGGCTTGTAGACAAAATGCACATAGGTTAAAACCAAAATTTGGCCATGCAGCAATTAACGTTTCTCCAATATGTGGTCAAGTACTAAAGGTGCGTGTTTCTCTGCCCAGCAAAGGGGACCTCAGCGAGCCCCTTGCCCGCAAGGCCATTCATGCCTCAGCACTGGCTTTCCATATGATACAGTTTTACAGTCTCCCAGCACTGTGCTTAAGAACTAGATGTGTGCTTCTTTGCCCTGTGTAGGCTGCAGCAAGCCCCTTAACAACTACATTCAGAATGTGCATTCCATGTGATAAACTATGGCAAGCTTCCTGTGCTGTCCTTCACTGCTGATACACGTGTCTCTCTGCCCCGTGCTGGTCACGGCGAGCACCAAAACAAACATTGCAGCCTTCTTCCAGCACTGTGACTGCCATATGACGGAACACCATAGACTCCCAGCAATGTTCAGAAATGCCAAGATATGTGTTTTCCGCCATGTGCAGGCCGCAGCGAGCCGCTGAACAACATGGCAGCCTACTTTCAGTACTTGGCCTTTTCCATGGAGTCCCATGCTGAACAGGCTAATGCCCCTGCCATCTTCAGTCCCTTGATCATAGACTTCATCAGCATCAGGGACGCAACTACTGTGGTGCACCCTGTCTTTGTGCAGGCGAAGTGTGCCAACGGCACACTGTCCAGGAGAAAGGTGCAGTTGGGGCGGTAGTTTGCGCAGTACAGCAGCGCTGCATTGGTCCTTTTGGGATGTTTTGGGTACTTTTGTGGTGTGTTGGTGGTTGGAATGTGCCAAGAGCATGGTGGCCATGAATAGGGATCAACAGCGCAGTAGTTTCTCCATTACCTTGGCTGTTAATCCCTTTTGGATGTTCTATTACCTGGGTGCTGTACTGTTGTTGGTCTAGCGGTGGGTGTAAAACACCGACGGCACATTGCCTCATCGACAAGTTCACCTCTGTTCCGTACTCTCTCAACAACATAATCGCTATAAAATAGAAGCCTTATATGCTTGACTTGGGTGAATGGCAAACAATTGATCAACTGTTGATCAATTGTTACAATCTGTGATCCCAGTTGTTGGAATAATTAGGCATGTTTTCAACAAATGTGACAAAAAATGGTACTGTCCATGGCAGCAACTCAACCCACAGTTTTAGCAGCAAGGGCGCTGGCAACCCAGCCCAGTGCTTTGTGTGCAACAGCTTGACCTAGCTTTGCAACCACAGCTGAAAGTGGCTTGGCACAGGACACAATCTAAAGGTTGGCCGAATGTCAACCCTGACAGTGAGCAAATTAGCATGGCCGCAAATCAGCACGAATTTCTTCTGTAGTCTTGTTTGTCACTTCCTAATAATATAATTAATTAACAAGAACTAAAATTGTCTATCTTGTTGTTTTATTTGTTGCTTTGCAGGTGTTGTTGGGGGTTGCGGGAAGGGTTGTAACACTGCGGATGTTGGAGGAAGACGGCCTGAAGGAATCTCAGGTGAAGGCCATGATAGACGAGAATCTGGCAGAGGTGCGGGCCTGCAATGATGGCTACAAGTACAGCAACTGCACAATGCAGGTGCGGTGGTAAGCGCAGCTGCCGCGCTGCCCAAAGAACTGCAGTACTTAACAATAACGCTGGGTAGAAACAGACAGCGGTTGTGGTGGTATGTTGCTGGAT